AAGATGCCTGAGGGAAATTTCTGGATGATGGAAATGTTCTATATCTTCATGGGATGGGTGTTACATTGGTATATACATATATATTGCTCAAAAAGTATTGATCTGTTCATTTAAAGTGTGTAACGTTTATTATATATAATTCATATGTCAATAAAAGTGATTTAAAAATGCCTGAGGAGGGATGTATGTTACATGCTCCAGTTAATTTCATGTAATGAATCATCGAATATAAATATTTCCATTTCTGTGACATCTGAAGTTTTCAACTACAGGGGTTTTGTGCAAAATGCATCCAAATCTACTTTTGCACATAAGAATTGGTGGAAGAGGCTGTCAGAGATGAGCAAAAGGAATCGAGATATACAGATTCCTGTTATTGTCAGGTACTTTATGCTTGTTAAATTTTTATACAACTCTGGAAGATGGTATGATGGCTAATTTAATGTGTCATCTTGACTAGGCCCCAGGGTGCAGAGATATTTGGTTAAACATCATTCTGGGTGTTCTTGAGAGGGTGTTTTTGGATAAGATTAATATTTAAATAGGAAGATTTTAATATTAGATTAACATTTGAATCAGTAAAGTTAATCAGTAATATTGCCTTCCTTAATGTAAGTGAACCTCACCCAATCAGCTGAAGACATGAATAGAACAAGAAGACTGATCCTCCCCCAGGTAAGAGAGACTAGTTCAGCTGATGGCCTTCAGCTGCAACACCAGCTCTTCCTGCCTAACAGCCTTCAAACTTAAATGTGGGCTATCCCTGCTCTCCAGCACCACCAGCCCAGCTTGCAGATTTTGGACTTACCAGCCTCCACAATCGTGTGAGCTAATTCCTTATAATAAATAGAATACACACACACGCGTGTGTATATATATACACATATATGTATATGCTGTTGTGTTTCTCTCAAAAACCCTAATACAGAGAGATATTATTAGTCTCATTTTATACGTGAAAAAACAGCCTCACGTGTCAAGAAACCGGCCTCAGGTCCTGGCTGGCAGCGAGTGTTGGAATTGGCATCAGAGCCAGGCGTACACGGCACCTGGTCAGGGCTCTTTCTCTACACCACTCTCTCCTGGCTAAACTGATCCCTGGCAGTGATTTCATTAGAGCCAGCATGTCTGAAAGGGACATAGGGGACAGCAGCCTGGTTTGAAGGTAGGTGTCTCTCTTTATGAAAATGCATTCTAACATCGAGTTACAAACATGGGATTGGAGAGTGAGACAGACCAGGGTTTGAGTCTCACTTCTGCATCCTGATAGCTATTTGATTTGGTCAAGTATTTCACTAAAGAGAAAATTCCCTCATCTGTAAAATAAAAACAGTAATTGCATTTGGCTCTTAGGCTTTTTTCTGTTAATTAATTGAAATTTTAGAAATGAAGGGCTTTTATTTGGCATATAGTAAATTGTCAATAAATGATAGCATGATTGTTTCTGAGTCTTCTACCTGGAGCAGAACTGAACTGTGTCTGTGCCTTAATGTTCTCAGTGCTTGCACTTCTGTAATTGACCTGCACTAATGTGACAGGTGGTTTCCATAGAAACTGTCAAATGTTTAAGGTAAACATTATATATCTAATAATGCGGACCTTAAAACTCTCAAAGGAAAGAAACATATTTTCGTTTTCGATTTTATGTGATACAATACCTTGTACAAAGTAAAGGACCAAAAATGTTTGTTGAGTAAAAGAAACTAAGGAAGAAATAATGATTATCTGTGTTCCTTTCCCTCGTGGTAATTGTATCATGTACAGGAAGATGCACTTTTCTTTGCAAATATCCCATTCCTTTTGCTGTGCAGCTGGGAGGGCAGATCTGGAAACCTCGCTACTCACATAGCCTCCGTGAAAGATAACACACGACCAAGGGCCATGCAACAGCTACAATGCAGAAAATTGTGTCTTTCTGCTTTGTCATAATGATCAATGGATATTCTTTGCCTTGAAGTCAGATGTTCCTTGAAGCGTCAGGAAAGAGGTCATGATAATCACATTTGACTCCCGGTCCTGCTGATCTGGACCTAGAAAAGGGAAGCCAGATGAGGGGACAGTTCTGGGGATGGGAGACCAGAGGTGTTGGGGAACAGATTTGAGTTTGATTCTTTGCTCTGCCCGTTATGAAATGTGAGACCGGGGAAAGTTACTTCCCCTTACATATGTAAACAGGTAAAATAATACTTCTTTTGCATGATTTCTGTGAGCTTAAAGCACATCATATGTAGAAGCAGCAGGTAGAGCATCTGGGAAAGGCCTGTCTGATACATGAGGGCCTGAGCCTGTCTGGCTGGCAGCCGCCACCCTCGCTGTCACTTCCTGAGCTGGGGCAGGAATGTTTTTGTGCTGGAGGCTGCTGATCATGCAGAGCTGTGCCGAGCTGCTGGAACAAAGATACAGGGCCGAGTCTGTCAGCTCCAAGACGCTCACGTTCAGCTCAGAGCTTCCGTCATAGAACTGCTGCCCTGAGAATTCATCTGGGATGGCTCCTTTTCTCTCTCTTCCCCATTATAATGCTGAACGAGGAACTGGGGGCCCTGGCCCAGGGCCTGTTGCTACAAGAACACAGAGACATGTGCAGAGATAGGGGAACATCTCAGTGTCACCTGAGGTCCTTTTGCTTTCTTCAGGTATCTTGGGGTTTGCGAGACTCCAGAATCTACTGGGCCTGTTGTGGAGGAGACAGAAAGCAGCTGGGGGCAGAGCACAGGGGAAGCCTCCTGCTGCAGCCATCACCGGCAGGCTCCTATTTCAGGCACTGCAAATGCACAGGAGAGGCTTTCACACTGTGTTCAGGACTCACCTGCTCCCAGGAGACAAAGAGCCACACAGGAGAGGAGCCTGGAGCCCATGGCAGAATCAAGAACCCAAGACATCTCCTGGCTCAGGGGCGGGGTCTCCTGGGGTGAGTGGTTCTGACCTCCCGTTTCCCTGATAGGAGAATTTGCCTATGATATCACTGCTCTGACATCACTGTTCTGTTGTTACTCTCTCACAGATGCCCCCAGCCCGCTGTGGCAGAACCCAGGATCTTCCACTCTAGGCACCGTTCCTGTCCTGCACAGCCCCTCAACAAAGGGTGGGTGTGAATTGAGCGCCATCCCCATAACCTACAACATACCTCATGTCCCTCTGCCTGCCCCTACCTGACACGGATTGCCCAGCCCTTGCTGCCCCCACCCCTTCACCCTCCACTTCCTGTGCAGGCTCAGGAGACGGCCTCCTTAGTACCCACTGAGGTTCAAGGCAGGTCTCCACTTCCCTGGGCAGTGAGAGCCTGTTAACTCCATGTGTCCCCGGATCAGTGAACTCAGTAAACTCAAACCCCCTCCTTGAGGCAGGTATGTACCAGAATTCCCTTAACTGTCCTCTCCTGGGCCACTTTCACCATCCCAGGGGGCCTTGCAGTACGTACTGTGAGTCCACAGCGCCACCAAGTGGCTGAAGGTCCACAGTCTCATGGATTCACACCTGTCTGAAACAAGAACAGAAATTCCCCCCAGCCCCCATCTCTGCAGACCTCCCACCCTACCCGCTCACACCCATACAGCCTGGTTGATTTAGGGGTGATCTCAAATCTACACTTAGCCTGTGGAGGCAACAGATTGTCTGATCCAACATTTCAATGAAGAAGGAAATAATTGCTGCACCATTGCAATTAGTCTGCTAAGTGGAATAGACAACCTTAAATAATACAGATCATAAAAATAAACAGTCTGATGATCTCAAGCAGATCCAGGCTGGAAACACTATATTCCATAGCTCCTCCTGATTAGTCAGATCCATATATTTCCAGATTTTGTATTTAAATTAATTATTATCAAAATTTAGACAGTGCATTTTATGATGAGCTTGTATATATTTTACATATTTATATTTGAATTCATAAAATCTTAAACAATCCTCTAGCCATAGTTTAGGTCAACCCAGTTGGTACTTACATTTACTATCACTCCCTAGAAGGACCTATGAGTTCTGCTCAGTGACCCATCAACTGCTGATAAATTCCCCCTAGCGAGAAACTATTTCCATTTCGTGTATCTTCGCAAGAAAACACACATGCACGCATACACCTCACATACACACAATTATCCTTTAATTACCAAGATGTCAAGGTTTTATTACTGATCACAGTAATTATTTTTTATGAGTTTTTCAAGTCCATGTCTGAGAAGCAGCCTTGATGATGGCAACACATGTCTCTAAAGATGTGATGGTGGCTGGTGATGGAAAATTCTTTACAGGATCATTTGACTGAATGAATATTACTGTAACATAATTTTCTCTGTTCCAAAATAACATCAGCATATTTCAGCTTTAGATACAATTACGGTCCTTTACAGGACTGGTCATCAGTCCTGGATATGAAAACACAATTGCTCAGAAAATTGCAGAAGTTGTTTGGAAAGCCAAGACTATCCACAACGACTACCTACTATATTTCAGGTAAGAGGAGATTATTATGAAGGGAAAACATTTAGTAAATAATGATGCTCCATGGCTCTATATCAGTGGGCCTTAATTTATTCATTTCACAAGTGTGAAAGAGTATCAATTATGTACCTGAGTTTTCCTATGAACGTAAAAGAAAGGGAGCAATATAGTTATGGATGGCATTGTGTCTCCCCAAAAAATTCCTATGTTGAAGTCGCAGCCCCCTACTATAACTGTTTGTGAAGATAGGGCCTTTGGTGAGGTAGTTCAGATCAAACGACATAATAAGAGTGGGACTCTAATCCTATAAGACTGGTGTCTTTATAAGAAAAGGAAGCAGTACCAAAGAGCAAACACAGAGGAGAGACCATGTAGGGCACAGCCAGAAGGCAGCTGTCTGCAAATCAGGAATAGAGTTTTAACCGAAACCAACACTAGCACCTTGATCTTGGACATCTAGCCTCCAAAACTGTGAGAAAATAAATATCTATTCTTTAAGCCATGCAGTCTGCCGTATTTTTTTATGCCACCCGAGCAGACTAATCAATAGTACAGCCCTGTGGTATGTCAGGGTGAGACGCAAAGAGGAAGGCACGTCTGAGCCAGTCCTTGAAAGAAGAATAGTATCTGGCCATGTTTCAGGTGAAGGGAAAGGCCTTCTAGACCATGGGAACAGCAAGAGCAGGTGTAGAGGATTTAAAGGGCATTGGTGTTGTAGGAAATGTGGCGAAGAGCTGTGTGGTCACAAAGCAGACGCATCCCGAGACAGCCAAGAAGCCATGCTCTGAAGGTGACTGAACCTGGGTGGTGAAGTGTCAGAGCTGTTCCAGGGAAGCAGAATTGATCTGGGGGAAACTGGAGAGCCTCTGCCTGTTACAGTCAGGGACGGCGTGCCCTCGTCTGTGTTTGGGAGGCACTTGACTGTGCCCAAGGAGGGAGGATTGGGGTGAGGAGTCAAGAAGGAAGGAGTGAGCATCAACTCCAGGGTTCTCACCATCATCACTGCATTTGCATGGTGATGTCCTCACCTGGGAGCGGCCGCTGGGTGACGCCAGTGCTCTAAGGCCTTGCTTTATGTTGTCTGGGTATTGAAGACTTCGGGAGGAGGGGAGTGAGTCCCTGAGTGGCAGAAGAGCCCGAGGCCGCACTTTCCAGGGCCCTAAGTCATTTCTCTTTCCCTCTGCAGACCCAAGGTTCTCACAGATCTGTCAGCTCTGAGGTTGCTCCATGCTGGGGCAGGGATTTTTGTGCACAGAACGTTGGTGACTCTGCAGGGCTGTGCCACGCTGCTGGCACCGAGATACAGGGCAGAGTCCATCAGGTCCAAGGAGCTCACGTTCAGCTCAGAGCTATAGTAACTGAACTGTTGCCCTGAGAATCGATCTGGGATGACTCCTTTTGCGTTCTCTTTCCCCTCGTAATACTGAATGAGGAACTGGGGGCCCTGGCTCAGGGCCTGTTGGTACCAAGATACACTGTAGTGTCCAGAGACAGGGGAACATCTCATTGTCACTTGCTGTCCTCTTGCTTTAATCAGGTGTCTTGGTGTTTGGGTGACTCCGGAATCCACTGTGCCTGTGAGGGAAGAGGTCAGGGGCTGGAGAAGGAACACGGGAGGGAGTACGTTGGTGCCTTGGATTCAGGCTCTGTCAGGCTTAGTACTGCTCCCAGGAGACAAAGGGCCACACAGTACAGGAGCCTGGAGCCCATGGCAGGTGGACCAGAACTGGGCAGGTGTCTCCCTGCTTAGAGTTCTGGTCCCCTAAGAGATGAAGTCCTGGGCATCCCTTCTCTGATTGGATATTAGGAAGTGATGTCATGGCTCTGACGTCATTGTCTCTGCTGGTTCTCATGATCCTGGCCTCCCTTGCCGTGTCCTTGGCTCAGCTGATCCAGGAACCCTGCTTTGTCCTTCAAAGCCTCTTCCCTGACACATGGGGCTGGACTGGGCTGGTCTAGACTAGGCTGGGTTTAGGCAGCATCCGTATCCCCACAGCTCCTTTGCTGTTCCTCTGAGGCAAGTGTTCCTCTACCTGTCACTGCCTGCAGTCTGCCTTCTTCCAGTGCCACACCCTTCACTTCCCCTTGCAAGCTCAGGAGACTCCCTCACCACGGCATAACTGGAGTTCACGGCTCCAGGCTGGGACAGCACAGCTGCAAATTAGTGTCTCTACTAGTAACCCTTCTAGGGGGTAAAAGCACCAAAGAAGGCTGTTCCTTAACCCTCCAGGTCCCAGACGGCCGGCTCTGCCCCAGAAACTTTTGCTGCTTGGCAGTTCCACAGCGCCCCCGTGTGGCCTATGGCTCAGTAACTGACATTTTGTCTTTGCCATGATGCAAGAGTCCTGAGACGTGTTTAAATCATGAACTGTTTCTCCATTTGCCAGTTGTACTGTGTTTGTGTTTTGTTTTGCTTTGTTTTGTTTCCTAGAGGGACAGCACACACACACACAGAGAACCCCAGCCCTAGCTGATTCGGGATTTTGCATGTAAGAGAAAAAACCATGGCAATGGAGGAAATATTTTGCCTTTGAGAAGATTCCGATGAAGGAGATGGTGCAAACCTGGCCCAGGTGAGGAGGGGACGCTGAAGGAACCCTGCAGAGGTTACACAGAGATGGTCCGTCTTTCTTCCTCCAGATGATCTCCCAAGATTATTGGATGATTATAATCAACTCAAGTTGTTTTTTCTTTGATGACTCCAGACAGCTTGCTCAAGGCAGACCATTCAGACAGGCCTCTGTGCAAGGCACCCCCTAATCAGCGTACCCCAAAATAGAGAAAATAATATTCACTGTTCTCAGACTGCGGGAGAGTTTGTTTCTTTATCTTCTGTCCTCTATCGTTTAGAAATCCTCTTTTTGCCTCTGTTCATTGATAATAATGCAGTGTCCTTGCGCCATATGTGAATAAACATGTGTGTCGATAAATGAGTATATTTCTCTAAGTTTTTCTTTGACATTCAAGTGGAAAATAAAATATTCTAAGCCTCTACACTTAGGATGTTAGGAAGGAGAAGCCAGTCTGGATTAATGTAGGATAACAAAATAAGCAGAAGGACTTGGGAAAATAGACTCTGAGAAGGACTCAGTTCCAGAACCAGTATCTTCCATTTGCTTCTTCTGACTTAGTTTACTTCCCATCCAAATTTCGTTAAATGTTTACATTTGACTTAATTGTTATTAAATTTAAATAGTGCACTATATAGAGTGAATATAGATATTCTAATGTGATCTATTTCTTGACTTTCAAAGTCCAAAGGCAACAACCCATCAAGTACCACTGAGAAGGGATCCTTGATCTGGCTGCATCTGACATTGACGGTCACTCGTTGTTGTACCAATGAGCTCTGGTCAGTGACCAAGACCTCTTAGACGATGCCACCCAAAGAGGAAAATTCCACCCTGAGTGAATCTCCATGGATATATAGCAGAGGGAATTATCTCAAGTCCTCATGGCAATGTTCTGTAGCTGAATACTTTCTATGTATTTTGTGTAGACATAACTCATTAAAACTTTTTATAACAGCAGCTGATGCGTCTAATGGAGTTTCCGAGGGTAGATGAGAAGTTTCTACACAAAATCATGGAAATGTAAACTATAAGTATAAATCACACTAAACAAAGTATATTTTTCGGCTTTAAAAGAAATACCTGGCATTTTTTTAATTCAATTAGATAAGTTTTCTGGATTGTCGATCATTCCTTAACTATAAAAAAGCAAACACAATATCTAAGATTGCTTCAGAGATGTCTGAGACCCCGTGGTAAATAGTCATTATATTTCAGACAAGAGTAGCCCAGCTGATATTATAAAGTTGTGTGAGATATGAGAACATTGGCTCTGGATCCTTCTAAAATTGTACACTGGCATCATCTCCTGGCTCCTCCCCAGGGAACTTGATAGGGCAAGAAACAAATGTGAATACTAGACACTAACCAAAAACCATGAGAATCTTCTGGAAATATTGAAGCTATTTTGGCTGAAATGAGTAAGATGAGAGGTGAGCCCAAGACTGCAGTGAGAAAACCAGATGGTGGAAATTGTTTCAGCTCTCCTCTTGCCTGACTTCTTTGTTTTGAGACAATTTATCTGCATTTTTATTGCAGAAATCAATAGCAGGGTAACTGACAGCCCTAAGGGACTCCAAAAGAAAGATAGCCAACTGGACAATATATGTCCCCAGAAAGTGGATTATTGAACCAGATGAACGAAGAATTTAACACAGCATGATAAATATACTATGTGAAAATACTCAATAAACACAAGAATGTAGGAGATATGTAACCCATAGGAACATATAGGGTCAATTTATTGGAGATCTTCTCAGTAGCATACCTAGCATATCTTACATCAATATTTCCAAGTGTTTTACTGTGGGGATGAATGTTCATGTTATCTGATTCTCTAAGAGAAGCCCATCCTTCATGTAAACATTAAGAGTTTTTGTCCAATAGGAACTAATATAGATGATTATTTTCCTAAAATAATGACTCTTATCATCGGGATTTTTTTTTTCAGTTTTCATAAAAACAAGTTTTCAGCTATTAACTTAGAATCCAGATAAGATATGTGAAGCTCTGTCTTCCTTAAAAACTGGGTGAAATTTCCTCGAGCTTATAAGTTCCCAAAGCTGTGGAAATCCAAAGCCATTCTTGTGGATGTTTGTATTCTCCAGTCTTCTCTGACCCTGTCGCATTACCTGGCCCCTATCACATCACCAGCTAAGAGACTTCTGGATTTCCTCACAAAATCATGCACATCAAGTATTGGTGAGTGTAGTAGAGTCTGATGAAGATTTGGGAAGTGCCACAAAGGAATATATGTTGCAGAATACAGATTTTCACCATTTCCCTCGCACCCTCTCCCAAGACTTCCCAGAATCTCAAATTCTTCTACCTGTATTCTGTAGAACAATGCCCTTGGGGTTATCTTCCACATCCAGCCTTTGGTTTAAAATATTCCCGTCAATAATACCTTCCTTCCTAAGAAATGGGGTACAAGCTATTAAGACATCTAAATTTAATTTTTCTGCATTCAAAATTATAGTTAATTCTTCTTTCTTGAGTGGAACTCATCTTTATTTGAAGATTATCTTTTCTAAATTTTAATTTAAGCTGTATTTAATTTGATTTTTGTGATAAAATATATATAACATAAAACTTACCATTTTTAAGTCTACAGTTTAGTGGCATTAACTACATTCACATCGTTGTGCTACCATCACCACTATCGCTCTCCAGAACTTTTTCATCTTCCCAAACTGAAACTCTATATCCCTTAAACACTAATTCCCCATTCCCTCCCCACCCCTGCCCCTAGAAACCGCCTGTCTATTTTCTGTCTGTTTGAATTTGACCACTCTAGATACTTCATATAAGCGGAATCATACAATATTTGTCCTTTAGAGTCTGGCTTATGTCACTTACCATAATGCCTTCAGGGTTCATCCAAATTGTAGCATGTGTCAGAATTTTTCTTCTTTTTTAAGGTTGAATAATATGCCCTTATATACAAATGTGTATATATCACATTTTCTTTATTCATTTATCTGTTGATGGGATGGGTTGTTTCCACCTTTTGGCTACTGCAAATAATGCTGCTATGAACATTGGTGTGCTAATATCTGTTTAAATTCCTGCTTTCATTTCTTTTGGGCATATACCCAGAAGTGGAATTGCTGGATCATCTGGTAATTCTATGTTTAATTTTTTGAGGTGTTTTCCACAGTGGTTGCACTATTTTATGTTTCCATCAGCAATGCAAAAGCATTTCAATATCTACACAACCTTGCCCACGCTTGTTATTTTCTGTTTCTTTCTTGCATATTGTCCATGCTAATGGGTATGACGTTCTTGAAATTTTGAAATTAATGAGAATATATACTGAAGCTCTCTTTTATTTTTACTGTTGTTGTTGTTTGTTTTAAACATATTACTTTTCAAATCTCAAACCAGCCAAAACCTTGGTCTCCAAAATTTTGGCAAGTAGTTTTCACGTATAAAATCCACTCGTTGAGGAATCACTGTACTTGGAGATTAGACACTCTTTCCCCACAATTGACTTGACATTAGAAAAATAAAATTCTAGTCTTGGCATCACTAGAGCCTGTAAGGAAGGATGAGGTGAGTTGGATTACGTCTTGGAGACAAGTTTCTATGAAGTGAGCATAAGACACATCTCTAACCCCTGACAACCTCACAGCTCATCTGGAGAGTGGTTCCACAGAAGGTAAAGAGATCCAACTGAAATTTGACAAGGAACTTGTTTAAAAGGAACACATAGACTGTAAGTCTACATGAATTTGCTGCTAGTCAGTGGACACCATGCTCTCATGGATGGTGAGGAAAGAGCACTTGAATCTTCTTCTTCTTCTTTTTTTTTTCTTTTTTTGGTGAGGAAGATTAGCCCTGAGCTAACATCTGTTGCCAATCCTCCTCTTTTTCCTGAGGAAGATTGGCCCCGAGCTAATATCCGTGCCCATCTTTCTCCATTTTATAGGTGGGAAGCTGGCCACAGCATGGCTTGATAAGTGGTGCGTAGGTCTGTGCCCATGATCCAAACCTGCAAAATGCAGGCCACCAAAGCGGAGCGTGCAAACTTAACCATTACGCCACTGGGCTGGCCCCAGGAAAGAGCACTTGAGAAAGGAAAAGTGAAAAATATCAAGTTTCTCAAACAGTTTTATTTATGGGATCTGACTTGGCATTGAGAAATGAAGGCTATTATATCTTTCAATTATTGGAGCACTGATGTCTGTGTTATAAGCCCAATGGGAGCTTGCAGTACTTGAAAAACAAGGGGTTTATTTGTTTTACTTCCTTGACACAAGGGTACCAATCAAGAGTTTTAACATACACTCGGAAGATTTACTTATTGATCTCTTTAACTTGACTCTTTGAGGACCTAATTCATGATTCCCAAATGTCTTAGATTGCTTGTTATCCAACAGATGATTAAAATATTTGTCAAATGAGTGAACAGTTTATACAGGACTAGTGATGGAAATCTTCTAAGTGGGATGCAGTGGGGATAGTGTGGTAGGAAATGTGATTAATTCCATTTTGCACATGTTGAGTTTGTGTGTGTCCATGGCTTACCCAGATGAAGACATTCAGCTGGAAAACTGACATGAAATTCTAGAGCTCAGAGAGAAATCTGAATGGGAAATGGACCAATGAAAGTCACTCTATATGAATTAAGCCTGAGGAGGGTAAAATGCCGTTCAAACAAAACAGTAGAAATATAAAGATGAAATGAATTGAATAGGAATCCCCAAAGGAAACTCACATTTAAGTGCATCTAGAAGTAAAGGAGTCAACAAAGGATGCTAGAAAGAGACAAGCCAGAGATATAAGAGCAGAACCAGAAGCAAAATATCATTGGAGCTGGGCAGAAAATAGGTTTTTAAAGGAAGAAGGAGATTAGTGTGTTGATTTCCAGAAACTACTGACCTAACCCCATGTGGAGGTTAAGTGGGAACACTGATGAGACCTGCAATGAGACTTCTAGGAGTCGGAGCCAGCATTAAACAGAAGTTTGTGACTAGACGAAGGGTGACCATAGCTGTGCACCTCTGTTGCTGCACAAATGTAGAAGGGTAAACCCCTCAACTCAGGGTAAGGGATTAAGTCCAACTTCCATAGAATCTACTAGAGGGGCACTTTTAGCTGTGGACAACTATAAAATAGAGAAGCAGTTTTTGTTCCTCCCACAGCTCCCAGGGATGCAGCATACTTACCTGGATCTCAGATCCAGGTCATGCGCTAATGGCATCATTTCTGGTTTTGTGACCAGGTATCTTAGGATCTGGGTGATACTAGCAACTATGGAGTCTGAGAGAAGACCTAGAAGCTGGAGACAGGGCCCAGAGAAGCCAGATGGTATAGACGAAAGAGAAAGATTTCTGGTTTCTGTGATCTTCTGCCCAGAACTCACCTGCCACCGGGTAGCAAGTGTGTCTGAGCATAGCAGTCTGGTGCCTGTGGTAGGACTGGGTGGAACATTAGAGGCCAGGATTCTAGCCTAACGAAGTACGGTGCATGAGACTTTATGATCCTCACACAGAAATTGCTGTTTCTACCTCATGCAAATAATAATATTATTGATCATTTATTTTTTGGCCACATTGCCAGGAAGTATACTAGTCATGATGTAGTTTATATATGTAAATAAATAAAAATTTGTCTCTTTGCTTTAAAACTCATCATAGCGTAATGAGGTATCCAAAAGAAATAGAAATCTGACTATAAAACTTTGAGAACAAATGCACTTTTTTAATGAAAAATTCATTTTTGATCTGGAAGGAGGAGTTATATGGCACAATATATAAAAACAATTCACTAAAACCCTTTTATCTCCCCCAACTACTTCCATCTCTCTTCCTAAAATTCTCCCCCAAAGTCTCATCACTCCCTAAAATGAATCTTCTCTCTTCTTTAGGCATCCCTTCTCTTCCTAGTCACTCTCCTTGCTTTCACTATGTCTAGGGAATGCTTAAAGATCTAATTTGACTTTTGGAGTTGGAGAGGGTCACGTCAAAGTTTGTACAAATTTGTGCTTCATTGAGTATTCTCATGATACAGCAACTGCCTGCTCTCAGAGCAAGTGATCTAAGAGATCAGGGTGGAAGCTGCAATGTCTGTTATGATCTAACCTCAGAAGTTACATGCTGTCGCTTCTGCTATGTTCTATGGATCACAAAAAAAGCAGTCCTGATTCATCGTGAGAAGGTACTCCACAAGGACGTGAATACCAAGGGGCAAGGATCGTTAGCCATATTGGAGGCTAGCCATCACTCACATATATAATAACTTTACTATTTCCAGGAACAAAAAAAATCTAATTTTTTAAATTAGGAAAATCCATATAAAAAGGATGTGGAGCAGAGATTTAATATGAGGAAGATATATCTTAGTAAGAAGGATGTGACAGGGAAAGGAAAAGGGAGAGAAGCAGAAATCGAGGTCTGTGGGAAGAGACCCAGTAGACCCTATAGCCGATTTTACATATAAATCATCATTATCATCTTGCTTTTTTGCAGGGAGTAAAATTAGGGGGCTCCTCAGAGATGCTATTGGAATATCAACAGAAAGGAGGTAGCAGGTAGAAAATGGGGTCAGTCCAGTCAAATTGGTAGAGTCATGTTCCAGCCATTCTCAGTGGATTTCAACTCAGACTGAGGTCCTCAATGCTCTGGGTTCCTCACCCTCAATCTAAATGTTTTCATCGCAGGGCATGGGGGTGCTGGGAAGGTCTTCTGTGCTTCCTTCTGGTTAGCGCAGGGGCCTCATGAGGAAAGGGCCATCCTGTTCTTTCTGAGCTGAGTGACTGTGACTATGCAGTCCTCTGGAATCACAAACTGATACAGAAGTACAGAGAGGTCTGGTTGGTGCTGGTTGACTCCAGACTCAAGGGGGAAATTCTCTATATCTTTCTGAAACATGTGCCCTTCAAGCACAAGCACATCTCCTTTGACCATAAGGTTAGAACAATTTGACTAAGGGATCAAACTTAGTCAAGTCCTGGGTCTTGTTGATACCAGTACGTAGCAAAATGGTTCATTTTCTAAGAACGTTGAAAGAGTAGCTTCTTTTCATCTCTACGATAAGGATCTTGGTATCTGTTTGACTTGAGCATCTGTGGTTTTTGTTAGAGAAGGACATGTAAGCTAAGAGAGACAAGGAAGCAAACAGTTGTCCAAATGAAGGAAATGCAGAGGATCTGGAAATGATAAAACTCCCTTATCAGGAGTTTCTCTTCTGTTTCCTGGACTCACCTGCTCCCAAGAGACAAAAGCCACAAAACAGAGAAGCCTGGTACCCACGGCAGGTCACGGAGTGGGGGGGTGTTCCCCACCCCAGTGCTCTGGTGTTCCTAGGTAAGAGTTGGCACTCTGAGCCTCTTCACAGCCAACAGCCAGGTCTCCCTGGGATGTCAATACTCCAGCAGGTTCTCCAAGCCCAGAATCCCCCCTTATTTGTCTCACAATCCGTCGTTCTTGTTTTCTTTCTTTTTTGTAAGATAGGGTCATGCTCACTGGAACTGTGTTTGGGGAGTAGGCTCACACCCTACTTTCTCTAATCTTCCTTTGAAGCTCTTACTTCTCTGCATACACCTGCCCATGGGTATCCAGTATGCTCCTTCAAACTCCCTCACTGTCTACTTTTCTTTCCAGTTTAGAAGGGCTTCCCAATCCCTACTGAGAGCTACATAATATTCTTGCAGTGGCTCAAAGGTCAGTGATCAATCAGCCTGATGTAACGACAAAGCCTTTTTAACTTTCTCTCCCTATAACCCACAGCTCTTCCTCTCTCCTCCTCCAAGCTTCTTACGTCTCAGTGGAAGCACAATGCCTCCTCTTAATAAATTGGAAGTGTTTAGATTGTCAGCTGGGGCAGGAAGGTTTCCATTGACTTCCTGTACCTCTTATCCTCATCTATTCTGGAGGCCTCCCTGTTTCCTGTGTGGTGCTTCCCAGCTGAGTGTAACACATTCCCGATTCCTTTGAACTGACATATTGACTTCCCTTCCCCTTTTTCTACTTTTTTCCAGGACAAACAACTGAAGCAACTGGAACTCACATTCCTGATAAGAAGGCTAATGGCATCACCACTTAGGAAAACAATGTGGCCACTTTTTCTAAAGTGAAACTAGTACTTACCATAAAACCCACCAATCCCACTCCTGAGTATTTACCCAAGAGAAATCAAAATGTATGTTCACACAAAATCTTGTACCAGAATGCTCTTGCTGTAGCTTTAGTCATAATAGCCAATATGTAGAAACAACCTAAGTGTCCACCAACATGTAAATGGATATGCAAATTGTGGTAGGGTCATACAATCAAAAATACAGTGTAAAAAAGAAAGAATTACTAATACACATAACAACAAGGATGAACAACAAAAGCGTTATGTTAAGTGGAAGAAGCTGGTCAAAAAGGGGTGTATGATTCCATTTATATGAAATTCAAGAACAAGCAAGTCTAATCTATGATGATAGATGTCGGAACAGTGGTTACCTATGGGGGCGAGTATTGACCTGAAGGGGATATAACACACAAGAGGTGATGACACACGTTCTAGATCTTGTTTAAGGTGGTGTTGCTTGCGTGTTTCCATTTGACAAAATACATATAATTAAAATTTAATATTATGCATTTCACTGCCTGTAATAAAAGATGCATCCCACTAGCCAGAATCAACAGGCAACCTTCCAAGCAAGGTTCTTTCTAAAATTACTTATGAAATATACATGTTATCAGATAGTCTCAGAGCTCCCTACACTGTAGTTACAAAAGAACCTCACATATTCATATCCAAAATGTACCAAATCTGAGCCCTAAAATCCCAGGGTTACCAGGAAGTCCAGCCTTGCCCCAGGGCTTGATTCCCTATAAGATCCTAAGGAGCCCCAGGGTTGTTTATTGCTCCTGAGTTACCTGAACCCCACAGGGATCCACTCATGGATGTGACCATCTGCCTGTTGCCTCAGGGATGTGCCCCTCTTTCCAGGTGACTGGAAAACTGGTCTCTTCTGCTGCTTCCAGGGGTAGGATTTGGGAAGAGAGGGGGGCACTTACCACCATGTACTGTCCCCAGTACCCTGTTCTGTGCATTTGTAACCACTAGTGCAGGGCTCCACCTGTGTGCTCAGCCTTTAGTGGTTCTTCCAGGGAGAAGGGACGGTGCTCTTTCACTCAGGGCCACCCTGTTAGGGAAATCCCCCAGAAAAACTCCATGGGCCCCTCTTGCCACAGCTCTTGGCAGCCATTTCTCTCATCCCCCACAGTTGTTTTCCCCAAGACAGAAGCCTCTTCCTGCTCAGGACCCTGAGATGAATCCCAGGGATGGGACACGGGTGGGGTAAACTCATGTCCTGCTTTATGTCTACTGTCCAAGTGTAATTGTTAACAGCACTGCCTTCACTTCCCAAAGTGTTCCACTTTGGATGATAAATCATATGGTCTCTCTAAAAATACGAGAATATACATCTCCTCCTAATTTTGTGTGTTCTCTCCACGATGTTTCTGTCTTAGTAGTCCCAGCACATCCATTCTAGGGAAGTTGGTGATTTCAGAGCATGAAGGAGAGTTCTTTAATTCAGATAGGTTGATCCCTGCATCATATATGACACTGTGATTCATTCTTCTTCTGAGACCCATGAGGTCCCTGTGGTGCACTAACCATGTTTTCCATGTCCTGGGGTAAGTTACCTTCTGTCTAAAGAATGAATGAATGAATAAGTGAATGAATGAGTAAATAGGTATACAAGCAATCTGACATATTGAACTAGCCTAGAACACCAATAATAATTTATTTTTCTAATTGAATACTTGAGGTCTACCTGCCTTATAATGGTAGTTTCCCCTTAGCCATGGGGCATAGGTTCCAAGAACCCCAGTCGATGCCTGAAACAAGAGATAGTACCAAATCCCATGTTGAACTCATACCACCACAATCTAATAACCAAGACCGCTATCAAGTGACTAATGCGGGGCCGTGGTGGTGGG